CTCTCTCTCTCTCTCTCTCTCTCTCTCTCTCTCTCTCTCTCTCTCTCTCTCCTTCGCTCTGTCTCTCTTTCTCCCCTTTCTTCGTCTTTCTTTTTATCGTGCGCTTCACAAACGAATACACACATGTACATGAACGTAAACTTATAAACATAATATAAACATATAAACTTGTAAACAAAAATAAACATAATATTACACTTGAGGGCTATCCAAAAATTATGGTGAAAATGGTAATGATTTTTTAAAAACTGGCAGGTCTGTAACAAATTGTAAATGGGCCTGCAAACGACTATGCACGCAACTTCTTTTTGCCAAAGTACCAGTTGCTCTAGCTTTCACAGGCAAAATTGAAGACAAACGAGGCAGGGGTAGGCCCAGAACAACATACTTAGGGAACCCGAACAAATGGGCAACAGGGAAAGATCAGGGAAACGTAGCTTTTTTTAAAGCATCCGAGCAAAGGAATGAATGGAGAGCCATGATCGCCGATGTCTGTCGCAGATCTGGCACTGGATGATGACCAGTTGCACCATTGAAAGCATGCTTCTACGACGTTACATGAAACATGACCCTCTCAAAGGCCAAAGGTAAATGAGCGTGTTGTCACACGATCTTTACGAGCAAAGGAATCTAAAAAATCCAACTGAAATTTGCCACGACCACGTGGTTGCGTATGACACGAACGTAATGGCTGGTCTATCACTTGTGACGTTTGCGTGAAGTGGGATGAAGACGAAATGGAAAACAAGCCACGTGAAGGCTGTCTGCAAACTCGGAAGTCAAAATGCGTCATTCAGCGAGTTGATGCACTTGTTTGTAAAGGCAGACACACATAAGTTAGGGAGGTTGGTTGCTTTAGCTTTTGATCTTCCAAAAATTACTTATTCATTTTTAAAAATTGTTTGAGTTCTTTGGGTAGATCTACCGTGAAGTGTCCGCCCGATGGGGTTCCACAGCAACTGACTCAAAGATACTTTCGCTTCTGAGTAGCATTAATGATTTCTAAAGAAGCTGAACGAGTTTGTATTGGAATGATCAATGCACATCTTTTGAATAGAGTTTAGAGATAACTGTGTTCAAAATGGTATCGAGTTTGTTTTGGAATGATCAATGCACATCTTTTGAATAGAGTTTAGAGATAACTGTGTCCAAAATGGTATTTTCAAATTTCTTCTCCCTTTCTGGGGGTCAAAGTAAACGCTTGGGGAAAAACACGGGGAAAGAATTAACGTCCATAGAACATGTTTACGCTCGGAGTTAAGTCAAATAGGCAGCCTGTACAAAACAAATAACTGTTGGACGTTCAAATATTATGCAACATGCTAGGGCTCGGATGGATTCTTTTGGGGGTCAATGAGGTAAAATATTGGCCGTGAAGGGCACGCTATGTCTGTTGTTCGCTCATAAAGTAAAGTATTAGTGAGGAAAGCCATGTTATAAATCTTGGGCGTTCATGAAATAAAATATGAGCAGTGAAAACATCATTATATCGTTCATGGGTTTAATGAAAGATTGTCACTTTTGCAAAAGTATTGTTTTAAGGAAAATGAATTTGAAAATTTTGAAGCAACTTGAGTTTTGTAGATGAAATGATAAAAAAAAGAATACTTGATAATGACTTTCCAGGTCATATGGGGGATTCGGCCTACTCCAGATGAAAGGAAAAGCTTCTTGCTAATAGATTGCATAGATTTCAGTCCGGAAATAACTTAATTTGTAAAATTTTTGAAGCTGTTATGATAACTCGAAGTAAGAGTGGCAGGTGGGGGATGGGGAGGAAGTTGGGGTATTAAAAAATTGTTGTTTTTTTTGTTGGGGGGGGGGTATGCACTTAAAATCCCTTTATTGCTGACAAGGGGTGTGTAGACACGGCCTGTTACGTTTAAACCAACATCAATGCCAACCTATTGTGTTTTGATGCCCACCGTAACCTTTACCGAATGGAATCTCCTTCTACCTTGCTGCCTGACGTCAAGATAAACACAATATAAATTTTTAACAGGCATGATTATTGAAGAGAATGGATTTGGATACCACTCCAAAAGCAGATAATGAGTGATAACCAAATTCAGTTCTAATTAATTTGAAGGAGGAATGCGAAAAAATCTAGCCGTTCAAAACACTACAAAGACATAACTTAAGCATGGTTATTCACATCTGGCCATTGTTTAAAAAAAAGTATTATGGGATCAGTTTCGTGCATTATAGTTACAGCAAAGCAGGGCTGAGCCTGATGTAGAGCAAACACACGTACAGACTACACAGAATTTGAGCTCATTCTCACGTGTGTGAAAGACAGACAGACCCATAAATCCGATTCCGCACCCCCGTTCAAACACACGACGCGCATGCACACACACATGCACACACACACACACA